AAGATATGAATTCATTATTTAAATAAATCACAATTATTAGTTATGTATTATTATAACTACTTATTCCCAAAAAAGAATTCAGCAATTAAGTTACATTAATTGGATATAAAATTTAAAGCTTAAAAATGGCGCATCATGTATGTCAGTTTTCCACTTCATCTGCGTCAGGCGGTTTGTTGAATACATAGTTGAATATCTCAATACACCCACATTTGGCGCTCACCTTGTCGCGTCCACCTTGGCGCGTACTTGTCTGTCCTCCAGGGTGCTTAGGGGACGTGATGTATTACGTACTTAGGTAGGCATTCAAATTACTTAGTCTGATGTTTTTCAAGATCAAACATTTATTAAATATCAAACATTTCTTCAGTTTATTTTTATACTACTAAATTGGCACATAATTATGAGATAACTTGGGGACATAAAGTACGTAAAATGTTATGACTAATAAGTAGGTACCTCTACCTGCCTGAGACTGAGATATTGTCCGATAACTGTCTGACTTATGTATAACTTGTATAACTATATCTAAAAATGTTTCTGCAGTTGACTTTTCCTGCCAAATATTCTAAATTAAATCCATACTTAAACGAGCAAAAGTATGGTATCACCTCTTGTGTAAAGTATGGAATCACCTTTTGTGTTTTGTTCCGAGCGAACTCAATGATTTTAATTGGATTGATAGATAAGTGTAGCTATCAGGGACCTTATTATATAAGGACCTAAGTAGGTAAAATCTTTATATTAATCGAAATTTAATCTCGTACATAGGGTAGGTAGGTACCTACTATATTTTCACAAAATACATAAGCGTAACATTGCGGAATAGTTTTCGGTGTTGTTCGTTCGTGACAATGGCCATGATAGTTTTATAACCACAGAAGGCACAATCACTTTCGATTGGCTAATACTTTGACCGTGATCTCTTATCGCATACAAGAGGTCGACGCCGAATAAAATATTTTTTTCCGTAAGGTTAAGTAGCTACCTACTTAGCTTTTTTGTAGAACCAGTCATTTCCTATCAGCTTTAATTTGGTTTATGGTATCCGGCATGGCGTGGGTATGGTATTCACTAAACGTGGCAAAGATTTTCTGGAATATGCCCTGTTCAAATTCTAAGTTTTACACTCATGTAACCTTGATCTTTTACACAAAGCAGCATGTACCTATTTAGCATGTGAATATGCCACAAAGGTTCTATCCCCTAATCCCCTTTAATCATGGTCCCTATTTTCATAGATCATAATAGACTGTAGAGATGTTATAGGCAACCGCTTTCCGCAGACTACAGGTTTTTTGTCGGCTGATAGTTTAATCGGGCTGTTAAGTATAGTAATCGGCCGATACTAAAACGGTGTAATTTAATTTCATACTTACTTCCCGAAAGAAAATTACACCGTTTTAGTATCGGCCGATTCCTCACAAAAATTAGAAGCCGAGCAAACTAACGGCCTCGGTATAAAATGAATGAATAATATCCTACCACTTCTAAATCGGTTCAGTGGTTTAAACGTGAAAAGACAGACAGTTACATACGAGTTTATAATATTAGTAGATACAGTCAACGTTAAATGTACTTCGTGACTCCGAAAGTTGCCAATTACCTACCCATAAGTTGACAACACAACTTTATTCCAATTACTTATAACAAAGACTTGTTCCGAACTTTCTGGCTTCTTTAGATGTTACGAACTATTTTGACGCTGACTGTACTAAGATGGAAGCAGGAAGATGAAGCCTTAGCCAGTCGCATCAGACATAATTAAGGTATAAAACATAAAGGCAAATTAAATTATAACTCCTCAGTTGATAAAAAACAAAATATCCAAACTTGTTGTCACTAAACGATAAAATCAATACATACTTAGAGGGCAACAGAACGGCGCGAGGGGCTGCGCGACAGGTGGTCGCGTAAATAAATAAAAAATAACCTACCTGGGACTTATTAAATTGAAGATTATTTTTTCAGATGAAGTTAGGTAAAACCTAAGATGTAGGTCAATCTACGAGCCTTTACACTTACTTAGGTAAAGTAACATATACAAGAACTATTATATTATCTAATTATTTAAACAAGAATAGGATAGTTATTATGCTATTATTGTTTAAAATATTTGATTATTTTAAAATGATTTAATTAAATCTCAAATAAATTAGTCCCAAATGACATATTGTTTTTTTTTTGTAAATTGTTTTTATGTAGGTACTTATGCCTGATTCTAAATTATTTTAAATATAATGATGGTTAGTAGGTAGCTACTACATTTATTTATGATAATATCCATCAAAACATAATTTTGTCTCATGAGCCGGATCACGAGTTGATATTTGACCATGCGGGTTATGGTATGGGTTTCTGTATGCAATTATAGTCCGCGCCAGCCAATAGACTTTAACAACATTGTCAGTCAGCGTCAAATATAGCTTGTAACCAGTAACACCCAATGTTGCCAAAATGTCCGCAACATGTCTTTCTTACAACTGGAATACTTAAGGTTGTGTTGTCAACTTTTTGGTCACTTTGGGTGCCACGAACTAAGGTAGGTATTTGACGCTGAATGTACCTGAAACTACTGCATAAGATAAGTACTTACTATACTCAAATTACTTACTAGGACCATTGAAAGAGCGAATGGATATTCGCTATAAGTACCTACAAATCGAAGTTTTTTTTTATCTTTAAAAAAAATTCCAGGTGCCCCCGAAGAAACCGCCTATAGAAACTTTGACCGACCAGATGTGGCTTGCAGTGAATCATCTGAACGAAACTGATGAAAACTTCGCAGGCCTTGCTGAAGACTGCCTAAAGATGATACCCATTCAACTTGGCTCCTTCAGTGTGGTACGATATTTATTATTATTTTTAATTGGTTCAACATCAAAAACATTCGTGCTAGCACCAATCCACTATATTGGGCGAGTTAATCGAAGAAGCCTATGTGATGCTTTCAGCGAATATGGAATAGGTACAGAATGTTCCATGAAATTTCTGTACAGAATATTCCGTGTAAATCCTTTTTCCAACAGGGATTGTACGCCCGGCTGTAGCTGCGGCCCCGCCTGGCCTGTTGCATTCGCTTGAAATGCCCAGATTTATTGATTTCCATGTTATATATTAATCTTTAGGACGTATGTTGACGAGCCGGTTTCTATCCGGTCCGGCGCGGGGCCGGTGCTGGAAATGCGTGTTGATGAGCCTGCATCCAATTCTGCGATGCACCGGCCCGACAACACGCATTTCTGGCATCAGCCAGGCGCCGGACCAGCTCGTCAACACACGCCCTATCTTTTTTAGCAATTGCCAACTGGCTGTTAACTGATGCACCATTATGTATTTTATTATCTTTTAGGACATACACGTGAATAAAAAAGAAAAATCAGCCCCCCTTATAAATTGGAATGAGAAACTAACTTCGTTTGAGAAACTTATGATAATCAAGAGTATTAAGGAGGAGAAATTGGTATTCGCCATCGCACAGTACGTGAGCACCAGCCTCGGCTCCGTCTTCATTGAGAGCCCCACGGTGCAGCTCAACACTTTGTAAGTAAAGTATAGATAGAGCCGTTCACGAAGAGGCGCCCCACCATTCTTCCGCTAATGTTTGAGTGTTATCGCTACACGCTAAACTATCCATGAGTGCACACTCACACTACAAGAATGACGTTCGGATTGCTCGGATCAAACTCCCTGCACCCCGCGCTTCCCTCGACCAAAAATTGGTGGGTCGCGTCTTTGTGGATGGCACGATCTATGCCCGTTTTTATTCCAGTGTGGCTCGCACCCACTTAGTGTCAGCAGTTGCTGAGTTGACACAGTTAAAAGAAAAATTTTGAGTATTCTATCATTAGTAATGATTATACGTAGCAGGCATTTAGCGCATTTTATATTTTGACCCTATTGAGTATGCAGGTGAAGTAGATGACTGGTTCTTTTGTTTGTATTATAGGTGAATTTGTTAGTATTATTATAGGTTGCGAAAAAAATGTGGGATCTGATTAGGTAATTATTGAAACAATAATGACGTTAAAACATTTATTATGATATTTGTCACTTACATACTAACAACATGAATATATTATTTTATAGGTTAATAAGATTATACATATCTATTCGTATTGATATAGATAAACCACTTATTATAATTAAGTTATTAACATATACAAAAAATAGGCTTTGATCAAATAATGTAATAAATAATTGAGTATTGAAAGTGGAGAATAAGATGGTAAATTAAATATAATTATAATTAATTATATAAAAATAATAATTACATAGAATAATAATATAAAAAATTGTAATAAAAAAACGGTCGACTTGAACCTCCTACTTTTTTGAAGTCGGTAAAAAAATAATAGAAAAAGTAAAAGCTTATTATTAATGAGTTACTTACTCAATCTGATTATACAGATTACTAATTCTTAATAATAAATGTGGCATAGTATGCCAAAAATTTCATATCGTTGTTTTAAACTAGACATCAATAATGCTGCCATTTTTAATAAATAACATCATGATACACAACCAATTAAGATCAACACAATCAATGAGCTTGCTAGCAAGCCTTTTTTTAAATATTAGTAGTTAAAAAAAAAAGATAAGTATTAAAATGAATATTAGGAATAAATTACAGTTACATTTTTTACCCTGCCAATTATTACATCCCTTGGACCACCTACACACCAAATATTATTGTTTCCCAGACTGAAGAATCATAGTGTGAAGATAAATATATCGCCACTCTCGCCACGCATTAAATAAAGAAAATCAGCTCGCACCAGCGTTTATTTCTTTAGGGATGACAGTGAAAAGTACCCATGTAACAAGGACATGACATGTACCCATGTAGGATTAAAATAAATTTGGTGTGAATGCAGGCATCAGGCAAGATGCTATATTTAATTTTTTTTTCTTTAATAATTATAACTGCAGCTTTCTTAGCTACTTGAATAAATGCTTTATTAGGAAAATTCTGTCTGAAGAAGACATCATAAAAAATTATATGTAATTATGAAACATTCTTAACTATTTAAGCTCGCAGATTGAGCTCACGGTGCGTCCATCTTAATTGGGGATATGCACCAATAATTTTATTTCAATACCGTTAAAAATCGCTGAGCAAATAAAAAAGGTATAATGAAGCATAATTAAAAATATTTAAGTTACAGCTTTAGGGTCCCAGGCGTATTTCATGTTACGTTCCCCGAGTCCATTTAGAGCTTTAATTTCTTCTGGTGTTAATTTGAACTGAAGCGTGATATTTTCTTTCAGACGGTCTGGATGAGTAGTCTTAGGAATTACGGCAATATCGTGTTGTAGTGCCCATACAAGAAGCACTTGAGCACTAGTTGCATTATGTTTCTTAGCAATTTGGGTAACTACTGGATTGTTTAACAATTCATTATTGTCATGAGATGAGCCCCCGAAGGAGCAATATGCTTGGAGCTGTATATCATTTTCTTTGCAGAATTTTAGCAGATCGTAATCATGATAGAAAGGATGCCACTCCACCTGAAACCAAAATGTATATACATGTATAGTAATCATTGTTGAATAGTGCTGTTTTTAAACAATAAGTATCTTACTATACTACTAACCTGGTTAACAGTGGGTGTCACGTGGCTAGACGAAATAATCTCGTCTAAATGCCGTTGGGTAAAATTAGACACCCCAATACTATTTATCAGACCCTCGTCATACATCTCTGTGAGTGTGCGCCATGTCATGTCACGCATTCTAAAGTTGCGCATATCATTGGCTGGGATGTTGGCAGTTCCCGGGAAATGTATCAAGTACAGATCCACATACTCTAAGCCCAAAAGGTCCAATGATCTTTGGTAGGCAGCGCGAACACGCTCATTGCCATGGTCACTTGGTGCTGTAAAAAAAAATCAAATTAAAATAATCTTATACATTTTGTTGTCCCACAATAATATGCCAAGGTATTTTTAACTGCTACTAGAACTTACCTAGTTTCGTGGTGATGAAAATGTCATCCCTTTCAAGACCATGCTTAGGCAGTAGTGTTTCCAATGCCTCTTTTATGAGACCTTCATTATTATAAGCAGTTGCAGTGTCTGCAATAAATAAATAAAAAGTAAGTTTGTATTATAATACCTTTTGAATTTGTAGCAAAAAATTGTTTTTACATACCAAACATTCTATATCCAGCACTCAAAGCTTCATCAAAAGTTTCCACTATAATGTCTGCTTGGCGCATACGAAACGTTCCCACTGAAAAAAAGTGCTGCTTAATTTTGATTGTCCATTTACACCTTTTATGCTAAGTATTAAAATATAAAAATACTTACATCCTATCGATGGCATCTCAAGGCCATTATTCAAAACATATCTTGTAAGAAATGGTGATTCTGATGCCATTTTTTCACGTTGGGCTTTATTCCTTCTATGCCAGTACCCAGCCAACCTGCAAACAGTTCTGGTTAAAGATATTTATTTCTCAAAAAGATTTACAATGCTAATCACTTAAGAGTGGAAACATTAATTTGTCTGATTAATAAACTTCACAAAACGATTAGCGCAGCAGTTGTACCTATCAGATGTGACTTTTTTATAGCAGGTAGGTGTAAATAAAATACAAGATAACTAGTATGTCACTCTGCGGCGGTGAGCATGGACAGATACAATAGTTAGTAATCCCATGTTAAATAATTGCATTAATAATTTAATCACTTAAATAATATTTAGACAACAGGCACTCATTTGTGACTCACTAACCTTACCCTCTCTATACTTAATAAAAATCAAACTCACCTGGAGCCTTTTATTGACCCTTTAGAGTCAAAAAGCTGAATCCCTTCTGGGATTCAGATGTGAAGCACAGTTAAATATAACCAGGCACGATACTCGAAAGCAACAAGTTGACCGAACAAACAGGTGGCACTACTTCAACTTGGAGACTTGGTGGCAGAGCACCGATTACACTGGACGGCGTCAATGCAATGCGACTGACGACGCGGCGCGGCGGCTCTGGAGAGAGACGAAGACTCCACTATCCGACAGACACGTCCGGACGGGGCTTCTCACTCAACGAAACAACACAAAACATTTTTAAAGCTGGCTGGCTGACTGACGTGCTGACATCTGTCAAACTTGTAGTGATGGGACATCGCTTATCGATGTTGGAGTATGAAATTTTTTGCAGCAAAATGTTCAATTCAAATATTTATTCATAGTTGGAAATAAGAAAGAATTGATAAATTAAATTGATATTCATTCAAACGACATACATTAATGTAGTTTTTCTATATAATTATCTCTCGTTTAGAATTTCCTAGGAAATTTATAAAGGTTTCATATTTTATATTTTTGGTCCAAAATCAAAAGTGCCGGCCAACAAAAAAAAGTGTTGTATTCTGACAGAATACGTCTGCCTTAGCATTTGTTACTATGGCACCAAAGCCGTAGCTCTACTGTGCGTCGAGTATTTGAGATCTTAAAGTCATCGACTATTCATACATTTTTTGTTCAAAATCAAAAATGTCGGCCAATAAAAAAAAAGTGCTGTATTCTGACAGAATACGTCCGCCTTAGCATTTGTTACTATGACACCAAAGCTGTAGCACCACTGTGCGTCGTAGTATTTGAGATCAAAGTCAGTCGTTTCATATATTTTTAGAACTCAAATACCACGATGCACAGTGGTGCTACAGCTTTGGTGCCATAGTAATAAATGCTAAGGCGGACGTATTCTATCAGAATACAGCACTTTTATTTTTTGGCCGGCACTTTTGATTTTGGACCAAAATGGATGTCCTTTGCGGTTCTTGTTATTTTCCGGTGACACATATCGTCAGTTGCAGGTTCACTTGGGGTAACTGACAAAATACGGTTTTTGAGTTAAATATACAGTTTTTCATAGTTTTTTCTGCTCTTTCGAATGGTATAACATGTAAAAAAAAATAGCTTTAAAAAAATTACAATTACATGGACATTTTCAGGTGTGAACTTTTCAGATTTCCTTCACAATTTTGGTGTAACTGACATTGTAATAATTTTAACAGGTTGAATCGGTGTACCTATCTGTAATAATGTAAAAATTTTGCTACAAAATTTTGCAATTACACTGATTTGCTAAGGTTTATAACATAAAATAAAATAGGAAATTTAGAAAGTTTTAAGGCAGATAACATTATTATAACACCACTAGTATCAGTTAAAGAAGTTAAACTTAGCTCAACAAAAAAATATATTGAAATTAAGCAAACTTATCTTCCTCCCCTAGCTTGGATGTCATTATTTATTTAAAAATAGGTGCACATAATATTTTCTTGATTTTCGTGGCTTTTAATATTTTTGAATAAATAAAATAAAATTCTCTTGTTTTTTAATAATACTTTTAAATAAATTATACAGCAACTAAGTAGGTATACAAAAACCAGCAAATGTATCAAATTTAATCAAATTATTTTAACTTTGGACATACTCCAATTTACATACAATAACTAACACATAACACACACCCACACACCCACATGCACGCACTCACACACACACACACACACACACACACACACACACACACACACACACACACTTACACAAACGATTAGAAAGAAAGATTGTTTTTAAAACTTAAAGTTAAAGTTAAATTTTTAAATAGTACTTCTTATCATTTATTTTGCCTATTTGTGTAAATCACATGTTATCATTCTATTTTTTTATTTTTTTTATTTTTAGTTTGTTTCTAATATAAAATACTTACCTTAAATAGATTAACACAACCACGCAGTATCGATTAGCCGGTGGTGGAGGCCTGGTGTGCTGTAGCACAGGGTATCCTAGTACGGACACCAGTCTCTACGAAATACTTATTTTTGTTCCTTGTTGTTATAATTACCCGTTACAAATTGTGACTTTATGTATTTTGTAAAGAGAGAAATAAATAAAGTTATTATTATGTTATTATGTTAATTTGACCTATGTTTTTTCCAAAAGTAACTGTCAAAAGTACAAAAAATCATTGGTGTAACTGCCAATTTATTTCCTTAACTAACTTAACATATTAGATAGGTAATTCTTTTTATTTGATCTAAAACCGCGTAGAATTCTAAGCACTTCTGTAAAAATAGATCCAAAAAAGTTTAAATAGGAAAAAAAATCCGAAAAAAAAACGGCTCTACTGAAAAACCGTATTTTGTCAGTTACAGGAGCAAATAACTGGAAAAGTAGAAAATGAAAAATGTATAGGGTGTTTTTTTAGAGGTACCTATAGAACTTTAAAATGAAATAAAATAATGTAAAAATATGTTTGATTCACATGGTATTGGTTTTGTTTAAAAGATGTTCTTATGCCATTTATGCTTCAAAATGATTTCGGGTCAAAGGGCGCCACGGTTGGCTCAAATGTAGCGTAATCTACTTAGATGTCCAAATTTCAATTTCTCTTTCGAGCAACTGGGGCCATACATCGGCAATAACGTGACGAATGTTGGCATTGAATTCCGTAGTTTATCTGCGCATTAGTGGACTTCACATATACCCAGAGAAAATAATCCGTATGTGTGAGATCATCCGATTGTGGAGGCAAATTCAAAGATCCATCGAGTGAAATCATGCGCTCATCGAATGTTTCCCGCAATAAATTGAATGTGTCGCGTGCTAGTTGGATGGTAACACCATCTTGTTGAAACCATAGCACTGCCACATTAATATCATTCATCTGAGGAATGAAAAGTTACGAAAATTACGTCGACCGTAATATGGACGTTTGTATGGAAAACTGAACCATTATTTTTAAAATACATTTTTCCACAATTTGCAAATGTTGTTCTGAAGTAATTCTATTTAGTTAATTATTAAATTGCAAAACATACTGTCCACAAAATGTACCACCAACTATCAAATTAACTATCACTAGAAACAGTGTAACCAATTTAAAGTTGTATACCTCTAAAAAAACACCCTTTATAAGTAGGTACCTAATCAGTTAGGTACCTAGTCACTATAATATGTGGCATATTATTGCCTAATTCTATTGAAAACAGAGTATCCTGATGTACTGTGCACTGTACCAATAAACTACATATTTGCTTTTCTTTTCAGATATGCAGATACGGCGTCGAACATACCTTTGGTGTTCGTTTTAAGTACGGGATCAGATCCATTTGGAGCTTTTCAGAAATTTGCTACAGAAATGGGGATGCGAGAACGCGTGCATTCAATTTCATTAGGTCAAGGTCAGGGACCTGTTGCAGAAAAGATGATTAATGGTGCTAAACCTAAAGGCGATTGGATTTTCTTACAAGTATAAAATTAGATTATTTAATTTTACCTATTGTCTGGACTCAAAGTTAAAGAAAATGTTTTAATTATAATAAATCATTTTCAGAACTGCCATTTAGCGGCCTCGTGGATGATGAGTTTAGAACTAATAGTTGCAAATTTATCTAGTGAGCAAGGTGCACCGCATCCAGATTTTAGACTATTTTGTAGTTCAATGCCGACACCCAAATTTCCTGTATCTGTTTTACAAAATTCTGTAAAAGTCACTAATGAACCTCCGAAAGGCCTAAAAGCTAATGTGAAACGAGCTCTCATTGAAATGGAAGAAGATTTCTTCGAAAATCATGGTATTTTTGTATGAATCAATCATCATAATTTTATTTCAAATTCATTATCAATATTAATAGGTATACCTACAATTATTTACAGTGCTAGGACAAGATTGGCGAACAATGTTATTTGGAATTTGCATGTTCCACGCTATAATACAAGAGAGAAAGAAATTTGGTCCCCTTGGTTGGAATATTACATATGAATTTAATAACAGTGATAGAGAATGTGCTATGCTTAATTTGCAAATGTTTTGTGAAGATGGTCATATTCCATGGGATGCACTAGAATACATTACTAGTAAGTGAAATAAGTATTTTCTTGTAATATCATTTGTGTCAACAGACTTTTTCATCTTGTGAATAATAATGATGTAGGTAAAGTTTATGATCACTTTCGTGAAATGCAAGAACTGTAACTAAAGTTAATTGATGCTTTAGGTTCCATCACCTATGGAGGTCGTGTGACAGACATGTGGGATCAACGTTGTCTAACAACAATTTTAAAACTTTTCTTTTCGCCACCTACTTTGGAAGATGGTTACACTTATTCCCGTTCTGGGAGATACTATTGTCCTAGAGCAGAAAAACTGGAAATTGTCCGAGAATACATAGATAGTCTACCAGTAATCGAAGATCCAGAAGTATTTGGAATGCATGAAAATGCAAATATAGCTTTTGAGGTAAGTCCATTTACTTAAAAGTTAAAATATTTGATTCAGGAACATAGTACTTAAACGAGTCTATTTAATGAAGTTAGCGATTCATAAATAAAATTATATTAATAATTTATTTGTTTGCAGAACAAAGAAACGAACACATTAATTCAGACAATAGTAGACGTGCAGCCTCGATCTGGTGGTGGTGGTGGTGGTGATACACCCGATCAGATAGTATGGCGCATATGCGATCAAACTCGTTCTGTTGTCTCACATAAAATAGACAAATCGTTAATTAATCCTGATCTCATGCTTCCCGATGATGTAGGTCAGCTACAGTCACTAACTACGGTTTTATTGCATGAAACTGACAGGTTTAATACATTACTTGGCTTAATACATTCGTCTCTAAATGAATTGCAGAAAGCGATAAAGGTTCGTAATATATCTTTTTAGTAAGATTTTCATTATTTTATACAATATATTTTATGAAAATACCTATATTATTCCAGGGTATTGTGGTTATGTCCGAAGCTTTTGAAGAAGTGTTTACGGCATTTTTAAACAATAAAGTACCTGCTATGTGGCATAAAAAAGGATATAATTCTTTGAAATCCTTGGGAAGCTGGATTCATGATCTTATTCTCAGAATTGATTTTGTCGAAGTAAGTTTACCCATAAAACTGAAAATTTTTACTAGAGACCTTGTTCGACTATAGCAATATCAAACGCGTACTTTGCTTCCCCTTTTTGTTTTTATCTTTAAGTTTATCAAATCTTTAGAAACTAGGTAGCAACATTCTTGAAAATCTTATTTTATGATTTTGATAGAAGGTACTTTATATAATTTTACAAATAACGAATATTTATTTGATTTCAGAAGTGGCTTGTTGATGGCAAACAGCCCAGCAGCTGGGTATCTGGGTTATTTTTCCCTCAAGGATTATTAACGGGATCTTTACAGTCATATGCACGGCGTTATCGAGTGCCTATAGATGCACTGTTGTTCGATTTTCATCCTATACCATTTTTCCTTCCACAAGAGGATGTGTATAAATACAATAAAAGGAAAAATAAGGTACGTTATCTAAAATGTGTGTAATAAATAAATACATTATCGATATTTATTAAGCTATGGGTGGCACATCACTGTCTGAACTACTGCGCATATGCCACGCGCACGTTGGCTTTGAGAATCATTCGATTTTAATTATCTGATCGAGCCTTTTTTATAATGTGCGCGTAATTTAAAAAGTACATAAAATGATTGCCTTCGAATATTTAAAAGCATGCCATGTTCATCACATTTTTTTAATGCTGAAGCAGGAGAACTCTTGACTGAATAGCCAGATTGAAGTATCAACAAAATCGCATTACGAACTCGCACTAATCGTAACAAATTCCAGCACTACTTTATATTATTATGCAGGCAGAATAGTATGCTACTAAATTCAAAAATACTTTTTAAGCGCTTCTCTTATTGTACCTACCTACTGCTGCTACGAATTAGGATTACGGATGGAATTCACTAATTTCCTTAACGATAAAGACGCACTCATGGTCATGGCAAATAAGTAGCGAATGATAGGCATTTTCTGTTTTGCTATTCGTATCACCGATTAATACAATCGCAATGTAGGTAAGTAGGTACCTATTAATAAGATAACCTGGGTTAGCGAGGGATTATTAGAAAACTAATTTTATTGTACTGTGGGTCTTCCTACTTACCACCAGGATGACGGGAGTCCTAGCGTCTACGGAGATTTGGAACTGCCCGAAGACGGAGTCAACATTCACGGACTCTTCATAGACGCGGGGCGCTGGGACATGCAAAGAAACTGTCTTGTAGATGCTCTACCAGGTTTGTATTTATGTGATGATATTTAAATATTTAAAATCATCTGAAAGCTTCGATTATAGCAATGTGTTTTATCATGTTTCTATTGGTATTGCCCACTAAGTAAATGATGATAAGAAATACAGTCGTCAGCAGATAAACTTTGGCTATGTTCGAAATAGTATGATTAATTCGCGTTGAAAATTGAGTGGCAGAATCTCATGCTCTCTCATTGGTTCAGACTCGGACAAGATGGCTAAGTTTTCCTCGCAATGGGCCAGGTACGTAATAGGCTTTGCTTGAAATAGCGGTCAGATGAGTACGGTCGTGTTATCTGAACAAACAGGGCAGATGAACCCGCCGCTGCCAGTGGTGTGGTTCCAGCCGGTGCTGGAGCTGCCCAAGCCCGACCCGCGCTACGAGACGCCGCTGTACAAGACGTCGGAGCGCGCGGGCACGCTGTCCACGACCGGGCACAGCACCAACTTCGTGCTGCCCGTGCTGCTGCCCGCCACCCAGCCGCCGCCCTTCTGGATCATCCGCGGCACGGCGCTGCTCACCCAGATCACGGACTAGGCCCAATTTATACTCATCCACTGAAGTAAGCCCAACCATTTGTTTAAAGATTATTAGGCTGGGTTGCACCATCTTACTTTTACTTTGACAAACGTCAAAAATCTGTCAAACTCCACACAAAAAGCACCGGTTATCGTTATAGTCACGGTCAAAGTTAGGTGGTGCAACTCAGCCTTAGTGGTTTCTAAAGCCCGGTCTGTGAGCATGTAGAATTTTGTCCAATGACCCCAAGCTACCCATCCTTATCGCTCGATCTAATTATATTGCTGTCGCGACTGTGCCACGGTAATACTATCTATACAGTATTCCAACTCTGCCATATTTTTTAAATAAATGTCAATAGCCGCGCGGTACGTCATCATATGACAACATGCGATAGGGCTGCCTACCTGCAGACAATATTTTCATTACATCTGCTTCTTAGAATTTTTATCTAGTTTTGTGAATATATTTTGTGATTGTAATTTTTTATTTTATTTTGACAATCAAAATAACTCACTGAATGAAATAGGATAAAATGCGTGTTGTTTTGTGATTAGTAGATTTAATTAAAAATTATATTTGTGTTAAGATTTAGTAATAAATCTTATAAATTTGCGACCGTAAAATGTATGCGCCTCGACTGAGGCGTACAAAATTCTTGATTATTATACAGGGTGTTAGGTAAATGGGTTTATAAGCCGACACTAGCCCATGTTAACATGTGCATATAAATGTTATACTTAGTGAAGTCAGAAAATTGAAATCATCATTTTGATAATTTTAATTTGCATACAAATCTGATTTTATAAATTTTATTTTGTATGAAAATTAAACAAATTAAAATGATATCACTGACTTCACCATACCATTTATATGCATAATATGTTAACATGGGCTAGTGTTACCTTATAAACCTATTTACCTAACACCCTGTATAAATAGGTAGTTGTAATTATTTTTATAAAAAAGAGCGCTTACTGTTTCAAAAACAGCACATCATTCGTTTATTACCGTGGCGCATTCGCGACACCCCCGACTTTTGCATGTCGAGCGCATACCGAGATTTGAATTTCGAAGGAAAGTTCGCGTTTCGTCCGTTTATATGAAGTTACAATACTGTATGATAGTATTACCGTGACTGTGCGACGGGCGCCCGTAGTGAGTGTGCGAGCGCTACAGCAATATAATTACTAGGTACTAAGCTAAGTATACAGCGTGTTCTTTTTATGCTTGATCAAACAATAAGGGCTGATTCTAATGCTCAAATGCAACAACTTACCGAAGTTAAAATATTTAAAAGACAACCTTTCTATGCAAATTTTCATCGGCAATCAGTCATGTAGTATGGGAATATTTTTTTAAGAATTTGATATTGGTTCTGTAGGAAAAGTAGTTGTATTTGAGTAGAGTCAACCTTTTTTTACTGAATAACACCCTGCATAATAATGCTTCCTTGTGTCAGGAGTGTAGTCATCGGCAGCCCGATACCGACACCGTTGGGCTATTATCCTCATATTAGAAGTAGCATTGGCTTATTGCAACTTGATTTCGCTTTGCTTCGCCAGCTTTGCTAAATATGTTTCGCAACAAAACATAAGTTATACCTATTTGCTCATCTGGTAGTTCTGGTTTAATCATTGCTTAGCTTATTAATTATAAAAATCAGTCGATTATTATTAAGGATAAATGAGTATTTAAAGTGTTTCCTCTTATAGGTGGAGCACTTCACTCGCAGGAAGGAAGAATACAAAACAAATACATAACTGTGTTTAATATTACTTGTTTTACGCGCATTTATTATGATTCGCAAATAATACCTTCTGCACATTTTTTGTTTAAAATCTTTAAAGAATTGAATACCTAAGTTATTAAAATAATGAATGTGAATCTCATTACTTATAAATGTTATAATTAGGATTTAGGAATGAAGTATACGTCTGCAAGGAGTAGACTGTGTACATTAGTATTTTTTTATTACAAATCGTATAACGCACCTCATATTATACTAGCAGCTGTACGATGCAAGTAGGAGACGTACCTATCTACCACTTTTATTTATTTTGTTTGTCTTGTACTTACTTGTTACTTCAATTTTAAACGTTATGAATTAGAATTCGTTATACGATTTGAAATAAAAGCAAGCATTTTCACTAATTTTGATTACTTTAACTCATTTTAGTAAGATTTATTTTGTAATTGTTTTAGATGGATGTTACTTCCAATATAATTTTATGCACTTGTTATTTTTGGAATAGTTGTAACTTTATCCGTGTTAATAAATTAATTTATAGCAGTTGCTCTATTTTCTGAACCAGATTGTTTAAAAAAATGACAACACAGTTTTGTTTGCTTCCAAATTCCAACAACATTCGCACACAGCTAGTCTGATTAGCACTAGAGTACACGCGCGGACTACTATAGTAGACCAGGGTAACATTTTACGCTATAGCTTTTTGAAAACTTGCGCCAGAGAGCTGGCATTCCAGGAAAGCCTCATTTACTAAATTTGTCAGTAAGCCAGTAAAGCTTGGGTCGCTAGAGTCTGTGCACTTTTCTAAAATTGGCCGTCAAAACAACGGGTCTACTCAAAAGTCCAAAATCACTCGACAAAAAAATTATGAAAGACTTGTAACAAATGGACTTACACCGTGTACTAGGCAGTAGAAAGTCATGAATACTGTGACAGATAAAAAACTAATCATATTTTTTCAGTCAAATTGTTTTTGTTAACATTGGTCTCAGAGTGCAATTTTGGTCCAAAAAATTTACAACTTTTAAATCTGTGTATAATGTTTGATCCCAAATAGTTATATAAAGAAACTTTGAATATAAAATAACTATAATAAACACTTTTATCATTTACATAGTAATTCTATTCATAATTTGCTTATAAACTGATTTACAGTGATTTTAAATTGGCTTACCAGAGTAGGCCGCGCGTGTATTCGTGTAAAAAAAGGGGCGCGTGTACTGCAGTGTTAAGTACATACAAATAATAACAATATTATGTCCAAAATGTAATATTAATAAGCTTGAGAAATTAAGTTACAAGCGGACACATAATACGATCCAACTGAAAAGGGAGAAGAACAGTATTAATACTAATGATATTTATTGAAACTGATTTATTTATTTAAACAGGTTAAATCTTCGTATTTCGAACAATTTCGGAAAACAAAAGTATGATTATGGAGAACATGGAAAAAAAATTAACTGGCGAGTTCCCTGTGTGGAGGCGACGCGGAGGGCGCTGTCGCGTTATGTTCACATTTACTACACTAAGGTTACGGCGGGGAAGTGACAGGTCCCCACTGAAACACTACACTACAAGACAACAAAGCCACGGCTGCAGCCACACTCACTCTATAACTTATAACTGAGAGACCTGCATAATTGGGCCCTAAATAATGCGCGCAAGGATTGTGGGTCATTCCCTAAACCCGAGAAGCAAGTAATAACAATAAGAACTTATACTAATAAGACGGTTAACGGACTGTTTGCTGAACACATGAGGCAGTCTTCAATCATCGTAAATTACAAACAAAATAGGCTGCCGTTTAACTGTTTTCTGTCTACACCGCGCGGGGCCGAGTTGGATATTGTATCTCATTATCATCAATCAGATACAAAAGTTTCAAATGCACTCCTCCCTCTGCCCTCGCACCGTTTTAGCCATTAACAGAAACGTTAAAACGAAGCACTTTAGTTACTGTAATTTGGTTGGAGTCGGGTCGTCCCACCTTTGCGTGATTCCGTCTTTCAGGGCCCCGTGGCTCTGTCATCACATGCAGTCCACTATGACTAAATTTTAGCTCGTTGCCACTTACATGGAAAGAATAACTATCTGCCTACACCGGCTCCTTAGAAGTTCCTTGCAGACACTCTTATGAAAGTTTTCGAAAAGCCTGTGAAGAATATACAATCTGAAGTGCATGTTAGTACTTCATTTTAAATCCAGTTTGTTTTTGAACAAACTAATTCTGCAGGAATATTAAAAAACTGTTCAGTATCTTTTAGGTAATCATATCTAGAGCAAGATGCAGCCAGATATCCACCCCACTCCCATTTTAAGTCCGAAGCGGGTAGAGGAGCTAGAATGTTTTGTAAGTCCCACGCGGCGAAAGAGCCATATCATGTTGGGAAAAAACGTACAAATAATGCAAAACAATGTAAGATGATTTTTAACAGGTTTACTGTCCAGTTAAAACAATTAAAAATCCATAGTTATGTGCCACAACAGGTCACGTGGACGGTAAACCAGCTAAAATCTACCAATCTCGATGGTAGGTCCAATTCTTTCGGTCAGTCAATGACTTTCAATCCTTACGCACATCCTAAACAATATAAATAAGTGTAATTATAAACAGCGTGCACCTAAATAATTACATTTTAAACTCCACACAGAGACAGACCTACTCGTACATAAACATTAAACATATGTATATTTATTACTATTATTACATGTGAAAGTGAATGAATATCACAGTACTTAATTCTGTTAATTTATACAGGTCGGTGTCAAAATATAGCAGTTTTATTGTTAGCTTACATAATATTAAAAAGAAATTAGAAGGACCTAGACCGGAGCTCGTACCTAACTAATGATTCGCTAATGTTACTTGTAACAAATAGAGTTCCCTTGGCTTCTCTTGTGTTGCGCCCTCAAGTCGAAAGCATGCAAAGTAATTGTGATCCGTATTAATTATTATGCTTATATGATTTATAATAAAATCAACTAATATAACTACATGAATTTGTGGTTACTATAATAATATTAATTATTAAAAATACCTGTTCTTTACAAAGTTTACACAACGATTGGTCAAAAATGAAGGTCTGCAATGAACAACGCCGCTCTGCCCGCGCGGGCAGTGGTGGCTAACACATTAGCTATTATTATTAGTTAACTGTAATGAAAATGAATGGCTTACATAACAACTACATAATATAAAAACAAACTTCTAAGAAAGTATTATTTAATAATTTAAATCTTTACAATAAACACATTACAAAACACTGTACCCTTACAACTGACCAATGAAAAGTATCACTATAAACCATCTCGTGAACTCGCTGTAATAGAATACGAATTATTGTAAGCCGGCGCCGGCCGCGCCCGGGCGGGCCGCGGGCCTCTACTTAACCTACCTACAAACGATAATTTTATTACCATATCCACTCGCATAAAGATACAAATGAAAAGTCAAAACGAAGCTAATCCACTTGGGCGTCAAGAACATGTGTGTGTGGTGTGAGGGCCAGTGTGTTAACTCTATAGAAATGTGCTTAGGATTTGGTGAACATTCCAAAAGAATTATGAAAGTTGGAATCAGATTTTGTGTCAGTCAAATAATTCAGTGGGTCTAGACAAAGTGCAAATTATAATCGCAAACCAGTCGAAAAGTGGTCGAAAAGCCCCTTTTTTGTATGGAGTTTTGACGGATTCGATTTTCGATTCGATCAAAAAGTGCGTTTTGTCTAGGGGGGCAGTTATGGACTGTCAAGTTGAGCCCTCAGTTTTCATATTGCTCGATTATTTGACTTTTACAATTCTTTTCGAATGTTCACTAAATCCGAGGCACATTTTTCAAATAATTTTAACAAAGACAAATTTAAACACCACACGCACACAAGAGTCGTCGGATACGCTACACAGAAATAAGATCGGCCAATTCGGCGAACCTTACGAGAATGAATGCTTAAAATTTAACATCAAATCACACAACACAACAGTAATCATTCGATCTAAATTACATAGAAAAAGAACGGAATGAACAATGTTTAGCATTGACGGGTGAAGTGCCCCCACGAGCGCGGGGGGCGGGGCGGCGGCGCGGGGCGCGGGCCCTAGTCCTCCGACATGAAAGAGTTCTGCGACTTGAGCTCCTCCAACCGTGAAATCTGCTGGCGCAGGTACATTATCCTGCGGGAAACAAACTCGTCGAGTACTCAACACAGGCTATCTCGCGCTACTGATAGGAACTTTTTGTAAACTGCCAACACACACATCTTGTTTACACAATGAGTTATAGTTCCAAAATACTGGACTGTCCTGTCGATGACATTGACAGTGGGGCGCCACCGTCAATACCGGATCGCTGGTTGAGATTTTTGCCATGTTAGAAACCATATAGTTGAACGATGGTAGCGCCCCCCTGTCATTGAGTTTGGTGGGACAGTTCAGCGTGGGTCATCTATATCATGACCAAGTGTATGACATATGAGCTGTCAATTTAAGCGATTGTTGTAGGTCAAAATGATTTCAGGGGTTGATATTAGTTGCCGCTTTCATCAGTTTCGCAAGCCGAATTTATGTTACATTACGCTCGTTCTGATATCTGAAAAATCTGGAAGACTGGAGTAGAGATTGTTTAATTTGTTTGAAAACTTACTTTTGTTCCTGTAACGTTGCTTGTATCTCGGTGTGGCGGACCACCGAGCGCGAGCACTTGAGCTCGGCCGACACACGCGTGCACTGCAGGCAGCCCAGCTGGTACGCCTCCTCCGTGAACTTGCTCGCCTGTAACAGATGTTGTAATGGAATCTACTTTTACCCGTCCTCAGATAATTCATACGGTATTCCAATAAAGTTACATCGCATACCCGCGTCCTCTTCTGCTGCATATGGTTGGATAAAAAGATTTTGAACGTAATTGTGTCCTTTCAGATTTTTAAAAGTAAGTAGGTTACACAAAAGCATCAGATTAGTGTATTATACAGTATAGTAAGCTTTCAATGAAATACATTAAGCGAAATATGAAAAAATAAAATTTCAATTCATCATCATCATCATCATTTCAGCCACAGGACGTCCACTGCTGAACATAGGCCTCCCCCAATGACTTCCACATCGCACGGGTGGTAGCGGCCTGCATCCAGCGCCTTCCCGCTACCTTTATCAGGTCATCGGTCCACCTTGTGGGTGGACGTCCCACGCTGCGTTTTCCGGTACGTGGCCTCCATTCCAGAACCTTGCTGCCCCATCGGCCGTCAGTTCTGCGTACTATGTGCCCAGCCCACTGCCACTTCAGCTTGCTGATCCGTCGGGCTATGTCAGCGACTTTAGTTCGTTTACGGATCTCCTCATTTCTGATTCGATCTCGTAAAGAAACACCGAGCATAGCCCTCTCCATAGCACGCTGTGCAACTTTGAGCTTCTGTATAAGGCCTATAGTGAGGGGCCACGTTTCTNCCGTCCCCACACGGCACAAATTTCAATTAGAGGGTCGTAAATCTCTCTTCTATTTCTAATGGCCATCAATGCCCAATTTTGTAAGTGACATAAAATATAAAAAAAAAACAAGCATACAACTGTCTCAATGAATGTACAGTTCCAAAATACTGAACTGTCCTATCCATGACATTGACAGTGGGGCACCACCGTCAATACCGGATCGCTGGTTCCGACTTTTGCCATGTTGGAAACAATATAGTTAAACGATGGTAGCGCCCCCCTGTCATTGAGTTTGGTTCAGTTCAGCGTGGGTCATCTATACACGTCATGCTTTTATGACAATAAATCGATAAGTCCAATATGGGCGGTTGTCAGTGATCGTCACCGTTGACGGGTCTGCTTAGGTAGTTACCTGTTTCTCCAGTATGTCGGCCGCCCAGCCCGTGACGTGGCCCATGAGGTCGGCGCGCACGTAGTTGACGAGCGACGGCGTGAGCATGGGCGCGGCGTGGTGCAGCGCGCCGCCCACCACCGACGAGTAGCTGCCCAGGCATTCCACTGCCACAACATTGGTAATGAGGGTTATCGTTTTTATACTTAACAGTTGGCACCCCTGGCGATTGACAGGACCTTACTCTACAGTGGCGCCATCTTGATGAGTGCAAATACGATAGTCCTCCTACCACTTTAGCGCTCACAAGTTGGCGCCACTGTCTTCGCTACTAGCAAGTGACAGGACCTTACTCTACAGTGGCGCTAACTGGTGAGCGCTAAAACGATAGCCCTCATTGTTAGAGTAGGCGCACACCGTTGATTTTTAATTGGCCTATAGTTGTGCCCGATTTCAAATTGTATGAAGAATCGGCCAAATCGAATCGGCGTAGTGTGCACTCCCATTACATGCCCATACTGATCAACAGCCCGACTAAACTATCGGCCGACGAAAAATCAACGGTGTGCGCCTACTCTTAATCATTATATTATTTTCTGTTAAATAGCTTTCACGTCCCAGTATTACACAGTAGGAAACTCTACCACTGCTTTTAGATAAAAAAATACTAATACCAGCCAAGGTATATTGGGTGTTACCAATACTTTAGAACGGCACAACGTTATAAACGGCAAACATTTTAGTGAAAACATTAATGATAATTTTACAGAAAGAAAAGCCTTTATGATAAATCAATCAGTAAACACACATAATAACATATTATTCACTCTGGGTGTTTGTGTAATATGTAGTATTGAAACTAACTTTCTTGATTTTCATCCATTTAATTGGATTTATAAAAATTTGTACAGAAGAACGTTGGGTTTCGTAAATTGAAGTCGTTTCATAGACAATTATAGAGTAGTGAATAGACAATAGTGATGTTCCTTTTTCTGCGCGAAGTTTCGGCACTGAGACTTTAGTGATTGGCCTCAACACTGGGCATTGAAGAACTCTAAAAGTTAAGGATTTGACACAAAGTTACATTCTTTTAAGAAAAAATACTCAAATTTTAGGCAGTATAAATGATGAATAATGTAATTGAATAAAATCTATACATTTTTTTCTGGAACATACAATAATTTGACTAGTGATGAATAAAACAATAGCCAGCCGTCTCTAGCCCATGTAGCGCCCGGATGCAATCATTATCCAAGCGTCCTCTAGCAATACTAGGGGGCGCGACGCAACGGGGAATAGTGAACTTTTTGTTCACTAATCCCCGTTAACGCCAATTGGAGCTTATAATGTGGAATAATTAACTAAAAAGATTATTAATCCCCGTTATATTAGGATTTTATTTTGAACGTAATGGGGATTAATGAACTTTTTAGTTCATTATTCCCAATTATAAGTTCCAATTTAACGTCAACGGGGAATAATGAACAAAAAGTTCACTTATCCCCGTTGACGGGGATTATCAACGGGGAATAGTGGAATAAGCCCAGCGGCGTACCCGAACCGCTCCCGAGCAGGCTCCTCCCACAGTTGTTATTATAATAGTGTGATGAATCGACTAGTGACGAATAGATCAGCCGTAGCGCTAACTTTTCTTGGGCAGCGCTGCTTCGAGGTGCAGCGGCGTACCCGAACCGCTCCCGAGCGGGGAACCCCCACCGTTGTTATAATAGTGTGACGTATCATTTAGGCCCAGAACACACGGTAAAACGCAACTGCAACGAAACTGCAACTTCTAGTTACTTTTGAGTTGCATCTAAGTTTCTGCCATAGCGTCCGTTGAGAGACCACACATGACGCGACCAGTTTGACCAAATCGGTTTCAAACTGTGTGTGTGGTCTCTCAACGTAATCTATGGCAGAAACTTAGATGCAACTCAAAAGTAACTAGAAGTTATAAATAATAATAAAAATATTTATTTTCTTCACAATGGGCTTACAATTTGTTGTTGTTGAGACAATATTTGACAAGATATTAGGTACACACGACATAGGAAAGATACGAGTTGCAGTTTCGTTGCAGTTGCAGTTTCGTTGCAGTCGCGTTTCACCGTGTGTTCTGGGCCTTAGTGACGAATAGATCAGCCGTAGCGCTTACTTTTCCTGGGCAGCGCTGCATCGAGGTGCAGCGGCGGCGCGTGCGGATCGATGTTCTCGGAGTGCGTGGGCGTCGGCGGGCCGGCGTCCCGCTGCGGCGTGTCGGCGCCGCTCCCGAGCGGAGACCCGCCGCCGTTGTTCGCCGGCATCGTCACCGTCGGCGCTGCCACGATTCGCGGTAGCGCCGCCGCAAGCAGCGATCCACTCTGGTGTAAAGGTGGAAAAACATGAATAAATGGCAATGCCAGATTTTGTATGGAAGGTGGCGTCTTTTTTTTTCGCGCGGCCATCGATCAAACCTTGTTTTTTGATTACAAAATAGTGTAATAAACCAAACTTACTATGGCATGTATACCTCTAAACTCAGTCTGAACTGAGTTACGAGCATTAGAAGTTTGATGATTTTCATACTAGATTTGCTTTTTGCGCGCAAGTTTTGTAATAAATTGCAACAAAATATTGCGCTATTTTTTTATTGCGCTGATTCTGCTGCTTATTGATGTCTGGAGCCTTTAATGGATGGTATTGTTTGTTTACACATACAATGTCACTATTTTGTTGCAACTTCTTACAAAACTTGCGCGCAAAGAGCAAATCTAGTGTGAAAATCATCAAACTTCTAATGCTCGTAACTCAGTTCAGACTGAGTTTAGAGGTATACATGTCATAGTAAGTTTGGTTTCGTTCGTTCGTTCGTTTCAGCCGAAAGACGTCCACTGCTGGACAAAGGCCTCCCCCAAGGATTTCCACAAAGACCGGTCCTGCGCCGCTTGCATCCAGGTACTTCCCGCGACTTTCACCAGATCGTCGGTCCACCTAGTGGGAGGCCTGCCCACGCTACGTCTTCCAGCTCGTGGTCGCCACTCAAGAACTTTCCTGTCCCAGCGGCCATCAGCTCTTCGAGCTATGTGCCCCGCCCAAGTTTGGTTTATTACACTATTTTGTAATCAAAAAACAAGGATTGATCGATGGCCGCGCGAAAAAAAAAAGACGCCAATTTCCGGCATTGTCTTTTAGTAAAATGAAAATGAGAGCCTGGACATGAGCTCCCCTGGCCTGCATAGAAACCTTCGGACGCAGGTCGGCCGTAGTGAGGACGATCTGTTCAGGTGGGGATTCTTGGATGGCTCAAACTTGGGAGTGTCAGTGTGGTTTTGTTCCCCAGTCGACGAAGCACATGATGTCGTGCCCTGCGTGCCCAAATAACTGCACGCAGGAAGATTTAATGAAGGCTACTGACAACGCCACTCTTGTGGCGGAGTTTTGGACTGACGCTGTGTATGTTTAGTTGTCGACACGACAAGAAGAAGAAGTAAAATACAACACATGAAAAACCAAAATCACGAGGATCATTGGTCTGTTTTCTAAGTTTTGAGTGAGGCTGCAGCCAAGGCGCTGTAGGAACACGAAGCAAACTAAGGAAGGTGTTTGTCTACACACCCGCTAGCCAGACGGCTGCTTGGGGAAGCCCTGATATTTCTCCGCATATTTCTCCTTCAGTCGCCTTTTTAACGTCATTCATATGGGCTTGGAACCAAACGTATACTAGTGGTTCTATGTTCTATTTGAAAGCGATATTGAGAATTTCTATGGGAATATTTCTAAAGTTGGCAATTCTCATGGGAATAACACACCTTTTGAGACACAGAGGTCATAATTATAAAATGAAATGACGGTCACCTATTTGTAACTACATTATTCAAAATATATCTTCGAATATTCATATTTACAAGCTAAATTAAATTTCATAAACTGAATATCAAGTAGTGTTAATAAAGTCACTAAACTTCTAAACGTTTTGTCAAAAAAACACTGTCCAACTTAACCCTATTGTTTGTGTAACTCATGCTAATCCATCACATGAATTCGTGTGCATTTAAATAACAAAATGTCAAAATCTGGTTCAAACAAAAAACAAAGTTTCCCGTTATGGGTCAATCATATCACGGTACCAATATGATTAATGCTGTGCTTTGTCCACTAAAACTTTTTGCAGTGATAGAGACGCTAATATATGTAAATTGCAAGAATGCAAAAACTAGTAAACGCTTGATAATTTGATAACGCTAAAAAAACAGTCAACCTAAGAAAGTATTACATCCAATTTATTACCACGTACGGCGATAACATAAAGCAAACCGCCCAATGAAGATTGACGGGACTAAAGTAGTCTTATCCTTGTTCATTTGCCAAGAAAGGAAAATGGCGCGTGATTGAGTTCTCAGTTGGACTCCTTTAATCTGTCCACAATACTGACCTTATCCAAAGCGGGCTCTAAATTGCTTGCATTCTTGCCTGTTAGCGAAAAGTTAGAGTGGTGCAACACGGGCTTTATTGAAATGAATTAATAGCTAAAATAAGCAATGTCATATTATTATCTAATCTATTTAATTTTCCTCGTGTTCTAGCTGGAGTTATTTGTCATAGTATCCGTGTCATTGACATTTTTTTCTGTTATTAGTTCTAACTTACTTAGTTTCTCTACTAGCTTCTGATTAAGTATTAAGATTATTACAGAGTTTGTTACGGAATTTTTCTTGTGCGCGGAACTCTTTATTCCTTTAGTGAAATTAAATGCACTTATAACCTATTTGAAGCTTAGTCTATCAAAATCGATTCAACCGTTTCGGAGGTTAGTCATTTATTTTGATCATAGTCCTGCATATAGTTTGATGTTTACTGCATTTAATAAAAAGCTGTTATTTGGACAAAGCAATCAAAGATTTCAACGTTACTTGTTTGCAAAGATGTTCAAGGTCAAATACTTGGGCATTGGTTACATCAGTGCATAATTTTCGTGCAATTGACCATTTGACTCCTGGTTTAAATGATGAAGTGTATGAGCAAGTGGTGCATTATACAGCTTGCGTATGAGATACATACCGGTTGATTTGAATTATCAAGTACGACGACTGGAGGGACCGAATTCTCTGTGTTATTTCGCGCTGCACAATTCGCTTCTCTAGCGCCATAGGAATTCTCCGAAATCGGTGTACTCCTGTCTGGCGAGATATCCATATCCTGCAACGACTGGCCATCTGAAATAAACGTTTACACCAATTTTAACTAAAATACTTCTATGCCGTTTTGTACAGGGTGTTAGGTAAATGGGTATATGAGCCGACACGTATGGTGAAGTCAGAAAATTGATATCATCATTTTAATCATTTTAATTTTCATACAAATCTGATATTATAAATTTTATTTTGTATGAACATTAGACCTGTAGATGTATGTATGTCTACGTTCTTGTAATAATTACTTAAAAGGAATATCAAACGATTTTTTTTGCACTGTTTAACTTAAAACATTTTAAGGCGAAAAGTCCCATGATAACAAGAACTTTTCTTGTAATCATTGGAGTTTTCGCCGCTCTTGTGTAGCCTGGATTTACAGTTTGACCGCTAATACAAACCCGACCAGTGAAAGTGTTTAACTTTGCTATTGGGCACCAAAATTAGAAGAAAATTGGCTGCACTCCTAATTTAGGAATCAAATTGTCTCTTGTGGAGAGCGGTTGACAGATGTATTTATTATCCTTACATTTTGAGGCAATAAGGCCTGGTTCAGACACAGCGATAATCGCGTGGTTGCTGGGCAGTTCTCGTACATTCGCATCAAACCGTAATCGCACGATTACTGCCTCAGTGCCTCGCCATGAGAACCGCCCAGAAACCGCGCGGTCATCGCGTGTGTCTGAATCACCGAAAGTGATTGAAGAACGAATGTTGTAGTTTTAATTTTATTAAAAACTAGCTGACCCGGCGAACTTTGTTCCGCCTTAATGGCAATAAATAAGCAGACTTTTCGAACGGAATAAAAAGTATCCTATGTCCTTCTCCTGGCTCTAAACTACCTCCCTGACAATTTTCTGCTAAATCGGTTCAGCCGTTCTTGAGTTATAAGTGGAGTAACTAACACGACTTTCTTTTATATACAGGGTGTTAGGTAAATGGGTATATGAGCCGACACTAGCCCATGTTAACATGGTCATATAAATGGTATGGTGAAGTCAGAAAATTGATATCTTCATTTTAATTATTTTATTTTTCATACAAATTGGATTTTACAAAATTTATTTTGTATGAAAATTAAAAAAATTAAAATGATGATATCAAATTTCTGACTTCACCATACCATTTATATGCCCATGTTAACATGGGCTAGTGTCGGCTCATATACCCATTTACCTAACACCCTGTATAGATAGAATACCAACCTTTCCCGTCATGTGTGGACGCCGAATGTTTTGGTCTTGTTCGGTCGTGAGTGTCGTCGTCGCGGTGATTGCTGTTCCAGTACCGGTCGGAGGCATTGTTCGTCCTTTTGCACGGCTTGTCGGGCTCTCTTCTGCCTGACCTCGAACTTGATCTGTTATCTCGACCTTTGAGGATAACAAATTGGTAATATTAATGGTAATTTCTAATTTCCTAGTTACATCGCGTAGAAAATCAATATCCAGCCACGCTCTTAGCTGGCGGGTTAGACTGAGCGAGCGGGTGTCTTTTTGGCACAAACAAAAGGAGTATCATTATTATTATAGTTTCTGTTTTTTTTTTTCAGTTGAAAATATTAATACTCATTTTCTTATTATATCGCTAGAAAATCAGTATCCAACCACGCTCTTAGCTGGCGGGTTAGATTGAGCGAGCGGATGTCTTTTGGCACAAACAAAAGAGGCCTCCTTTCTTTTTTGTGTCAAATAAAGATTTATGTCGGTTTTCCATATTCAATCCTTGCCCAAGACCGGATTTCAACTGTCAAATTTGAATCTGTTTTCAATCAAATATCCATAATTTTTGGTGCGTGTACACTTTAATATTGTTTAAATATAACCTAAACAATATGAAAATGTATAACATCGAAAACCGTAGATATTTCGACCAAAAACATATTGAAATTCTACAGTTGACGGACGGATTTGACGAAAAATTCATTATAGAAAATTATTCTATCATAGAGCCTACAATACGGTATCAGTTTGCGCCATGAAGCAGGTTATTTCTTCACCATCGCAATTCAACCGAATAAACCAAAGACCGAGGGTAGACAATATCTGGCATCAATAAACATTTACAATATCCAGCAACTTTACACAAAAAAAACTGCATCTTTGTCAAAGCTGTTTACGTGACCTTGGCGAAATCGTGGTTCTCAAAACCAAGTCGTTGCCAAAAGAAGAATAAGCACTTTACACCTATCTATTTTCAATTTCGAATATTGAAATCGCAACGTTTCGTATGCCTATCTACACTCGCGAGCAAAAGTATGGAATCACTTACATGAAGTTGTTTCCACGCGATCTTGTGTACTAACGAATTTGTTAGGAACAAAAAAAGTGGTACCATTTTAAAGATTAAACTTTTATCTTTAAATTGATACCAAATTCATTTAAATCACACTAGTATTTAAAAAGATATCCCGGTTGAAATGAAGAAGTAAGGAAAAAGACATGTATCAACTGTTTGACACGTCGCGAGTTGCGGCCTATTTACCCCCTATAAAAGCACGCGTTTTCGGATTTTTGCTTTCACACGTTGATTCATACACATCTCCGCTTCTTTTGACACTTTACCTGGGATTCTACACCTTCAGAAGCAGCACAAATCGTTGCACTATTGCAAGAAGGGCTCAGCCAGCGGGCTGTCGCACGTCAGCGCCACATAAGCCAGTCCTGGGTTTCGAAAGTTTTAAGACGCTTTCGGGAGACTGGTGGCTTTATCCCGAGACCAAGTTCTGAACAGCGCCGGCGCACATCGCAGAGGGAAGACCGTTTTTTCATGTCAACCTCTCTATGAAATCGTCATTTGACTGGAATCGATGTCCATCAAGAGCTCAGAAATGTTCGTAAGATAGCTGTTAGCGAGTGGACAGTTCGTCTAAGATATAAGCAATAGAATTTGACTCCAAAAAGGCCTGCCACAGGCTCGAAACTGACGGCAGGTCACCGATAAGCACCCTTTCAATTTGCTCGTACACATCTCGATGGGAAGGCGAGTAATGGAGGCGAGTTCTGTTCTCCGATGAATGCAAACTGTGTTTGCAGGGCAGCAGTCGAAGAGGTCGGGTTTATAGGCGGCCTGAGGAGCGATTTGTGCAGTGCTGGTTCGCTGAAACAGTGGCTTATGGGGGTGGCTTGCTCGACTTAACATCGAGATGTGTACGAGCAAATTGAAAGCGTGCTTATCGGTGACCTGCCGTCAGTTTCGAGCCTGTGGCAGACCTTTTTGGAGTTAAATTCTATTGCTTATGTCTTAGACAAACTGTCTACTCGCTAACAGCTATCCTACGAACATTTCTGAGCTCTTGCTGGACATTGATTCCAGTCAAATGACGATTTCATAGAGAGGTTGACATGAAAAAACGGTCTTCCCTCTGCGATGTGCACCGGCGCTGTTCAGAACTTGGTCTTGGGATAAAGCCACTAGTCCCCCGAAAGCGTCTTGAAACTTTCGAAACCCAGGACTGGCTTATGTGGCGCAGACGTGCGACAGCCCGCTGGCTGAGCCTTTCTTGCAATAGTGCAACGATTTGTGCTGCTTCTGAAGGTGTAGAATCGCAGGTAGTGTTAAAAGAAGCGGAGATGTGTATGAATCAACGTGTGAAAGCAAAAATCTGTAAACGCGTGCTTTTATAGGGGGTAAATAGGCCGCAATTCGCGACGTATCAAACAGTTGATACATGTATTTTTCCTTACTTCTTCACATCAGCCGGGATATCTTTTTAAATACTGGTGTGATTTAAATGAATTTGGTATCAATTTAAAGATAAAAGTTTAATCTTTAAAATGGTGCCACTTTTTTTGTTACTAACAAATTCGTTAGTACACAAGTTCGCGTGGAAACAACTTCATGTAAGTGATTCCATACTTTTGCTCGCGAGTGTATTTATACATTTATAACATTTTTGACGTCAACCACACAAGACTTGATATTCCTTAATTGGGTATTTGCCACCACCCCCCAATAATTCTTTTTTAAAAATGCACTTCATTCTATTGTTAAAATCTTAATAAATTTTAAATTACCGGTAATGAGGGCTATCGTTTTAGCGCTCACCAGTAAGCGTCACTGTAGAGTAAGATCCTGTCACTTGCTAGTAGCAAAGATAGTGGCACCAACTGGTGAGCGCTAAAGTGGTAGGAGGACTATCGCATTTGCACTCATCAAGATGGCGCCACTGTAGAGTAAGGTCCTGTCAATCGCCAGGGGTGCCAACTGTTAAGTATAAAAACGATAGCCCTCATTAAAGATGTTAGGTTGCATTGTAATTTTAAAAAAAGTAGTTTAAGTTGACACAATAATGACGTCACTGCCATACAAAATCTATGGGAGAGTCTCGTTTTGACAGTTTTAACCTTTTCAGCGCCACGTCAAATACAAAAGCCCACTCTGATGACGCCACGCTTGATAAAATATGATATCAAATTAAATCATTGTATTAATTATTATTCAGTTTACATAATACTCAATTAGCCTATTACTGACATCATTTTTAAGGCGGATTAATTCGTCGTTGGCGGTCAACCTGACGTACGTATGTATCCGTCATTGGCGTTGAAAAGGTTAAAAAGTACGTCAATTGATTGGTAGTGGCAAATACCCTATTAAATATGAAACTCAATAACGTAGGTCCAAGTAGAGGACATGTATTTTTAGGCTACATTCGTTTGACATCGACAATCGATATCGCGTTAATTATATCGTGACGACCATGACCCATCTTAGTGTGGGCCAGCCACACTTAATCTACTGATATACAGGGTGGAATTTTGTAATGAAAGTAACTCTTAATAACGTGGATAAAAAATTTTACTCAAAGAAAACATTCCTTTATTTTTGAAAAGAAATAGAACTGCATTCAAAGATTTTCCATATCTTGCTTGCCACACCCGGGAATCGAACAAACTAAAATCTGTTAAAAAATTCCACCCTGTATGTCTGTACCCAGTGTGTCTGGTCACCAGTGTCCGACACGTTAGGGCGCAGTAATATCTGTGATAATATGATAAAGAAGAACGGTCACGCCCCATACAAAAAAAACCCAGACCCGACAGAAACGAGACATACGTCAGTTTTTTTGTCATGTCTTAATTAGATTAATTATATATTTTTTATATTCGAAATCTATGTATAACACCATAATATGACCCTTTGTTTTTGTTCAGGCGTTATACAAAAACTAATACAAAATGCCTATTTATCACCAAAATTGGTAAATGTATGTACCTAAATGTCTATTACAGCTGCTATGGAATGTATCTAGGTGACCTGGAGATACAGCCGGATTATACAGGGTGGTTATACATATGGAACGATAAGTGATCTCACTTGATTATTTCTAAACTATACAAGATATCGAAAAACTAGTTACTGATACTGAAAGTGCTTCACGAGCTCTTTCAAATGGTACCAATAATAGGTTACAGGTTATGGAAGCTGGTACTTCTCGTTTCCACCCTGTATAATCCGGTTGTATCTCCAGGTCACCTAGATACATTCCATAGCAGCTGTAATAGACATTTAAGTACATACATTTACCAATTTTGGTGATAAATAGGCATTTTGTATTAGTTTTTGTATAACGCCTGAACAAAAACAAAGGGTAATATTTTGGTGTTATACATAGATTTCGAATATAAAAAATATATAATTTAACTAATTAGGACATGACAAAAAAACTGAGGTAGGGTAAACCACCCAATTATTGGCACTTTAAGCAGCTACTTCACAAAACCGGTAAAATTTACATGTAAAAATATGTTTTATCAAAGATAAAAACATTTATATTGGTCTTTTAATCTTTGCAGAATATTATAAAGTACTTATCATTAATAAATTAAATCATTTATTCATAATAGTGTACCTTTTAAAAAATTACCTCAAAATACCAGTTGTTGGCATAGCCAAACCTTTTGTTGGCAGTGATAATTACCTATTATTGGCACTGTTCTCGCAAGACTGAAAAATAGCTGCTAGGTCTTATGTAGAGGTTTTAAAGAGATTCATGATAGAAATAAACAAAATAAAATCCTTTGTTAAAAGAAAACACACATTTTTTTTGTATAGGAACATACGATATCAGTTCAAACGCTTATATTTAAATATGGTTTTAAATTTTCCATAACCACTTTTATCAAATCTTCTTTTCTCTTCGGAAATCCTGTTTTGCTACTGATTTTTATTTTATCCAGTCAACAAAAAGCTGTTCTTCCTCGTCAGTTAAAACTGTGAACGGTCCGGTCTTAGAGCGATGATCAGGATGTTTCAATCTGAATTGTATAGTAGATCGTGGCACCACTTTCAAAGCCTTTCACAGGCTTATTCCACTAATCCCCGTCAACAGGGATTAGTGAACTTTTTATTCATTAATCCCCGCTAACGT